CTCTTCCTCCTCCTCCTCCTCCTCTTCCTCCAATCGGCTCTCTCCTCATCATCCTCCTCCGCCTCCTCGCTCACGGCTCGGCTGCTTCGGTGACCAGCGCTTTGCTGATCACGCTGGGGGCTGCCAGCTCACCCAGTCAACTTATGTAGTACACGCCCACACTGGGGAGGCCAGAGGCCTTCATGTCGCCCCGGGCTCTTGCACAGAACGGCGCCAGCGGCCCGCAGCCGGCGGCGCCGCGCTCCCACTCGGCTGCTTCGGCGACTGACGCTTTGCTGATCATGCTGGGGCCTGCCAGCTCACCCAGTCGGCTTAGTGCACGAACATCGGGCGGGGCTGGGACTACGACGATGACAAATCCGTCCCAGAGCGTTCAGAGCGTTTCGGAACGCTCTGGGAAGGCCGCTGCGCCCGCGACATCCTCCAGGGCTGTCGGATCCCAACGATTCTCGATTCATCCACGCCCGATTTTATCTTCGTCCTGGCTTCGTCTTAGAACACACTTTTCTCCAACGCGCCATTGGGTCACAGCCAGCGGTGAACAGTCCAGCAGAGAAGCATTGGAATGTGGGCGCATGCGAAACTCAAACATTCCCAGCGAGGGCCGGATAAAGCCGACCGCTGAGCTGTGGGGTGCAGGTGATGCAGGGCAATCGTTACGGCCACATTGGACAGGGAGAGTGGCAGAGGAAAGAGGGCCGACGGCAAGCCCGCGGGTGTCCTCCCCTCTCCACACACATACACCTCCCTCTCTCGTCTCGTCGCCTCCCTTCCCTCACCTTCTCCTCTCCCCTCCTTACCCATCCATTCCCCAATGTCTGTCCTTCACCCTCTTCCATCCCTCTCTCGTTCCTCTCCCCTCTCTCGTTCCTCCCTAGCTCCTTCGTCCTCCTTCTCCCCCTCCCTCCTCCGCCTCTTCCACTTCTTCCTCCTCCTCCTCCTCCTCCGCCTCCTCCTCCTCCTCCTCCTCCTCCTCCTCTCGCTGCCTGTCCCTGTAACTCCCCGCTTCCCCTCCGCGGCCTGCTGCTCCGCCCTGCTCCTTCTGCCACCCCTCGCCGCGCAGCACAGGACAGGGGCCCTGGAGTCTGCTCCCTGCCTTCGCGCTCCCGGGGCCCTCCATGGACCCCGTGATCACTGTTCAGGATTATTCGGCCACGCGCAAGGGGGGGGGGTAGGGGGAGGGGGGAAGGCTTCTCAGAAGCGCACCCCTTCTCAGAAGGCGCGGGCGCCGCCCCCTCGAGGAGGCTTGTGGCTGCTTCCTAGCAGCTGCTCCTGGCGTGCCTCTAAGAAGCAGGTGGTTTGCCTCTAAGAAGCAGTTCGGTCCTTCTAGAAACTGCTGCTTATGTTCTTCTACGAAGCGGCGCGCCCCTGGCTTCTTAGAATGGCGGCTGGCGCCTTCTAAGAGGCAGCCGCCTTCTAAGATGCCATCCCCCCTCCCCCTACCCCCTTGTTCGCGCCGACACATTACAGTGGAGGCCCATGTCAAGAAACACCTTGCTTGCCTCCAGGGTGCCCTGTTTGTTTTGGGTTTCGATGGTTTTGCTATGGAAGGCGTGACTCTCCCACACGAAGGATCGATGGACGTCCTGGGGTCTTAGGGTTGGGTTCCTTGTGGAAGGCTTCTTGTGGACTGGCCGCCTCCACTGTATCATCATTCTCTCTGTGTTCCATCTCCCCGGCAGGTGGGTACCACATGCTGGCAATCGACAAGGACAGCAGGCTGTGGACCTGGGGCCAGGCGCAACGCTGCGCTCGGGTGTGTGTGTGGGGGGTCCAGGTCGCGCTCCTCAGGCATTGCTCGCTCTCCTCCCCTCTGTCCTCCTTCCCTCCTTGCTCCATCTCCTCCTTTTCCTCGTCCTCATCCTCCCTCTCTCCCCTCCCTGCTTCTTCTTCTTCTTCTTCTCCTACTCCGCCTCCTTCCTGTTCCTTCTCCTCTCATCTAACTCCCAACAAACATTGTCCCAACGCAAGGGACGAGACTTCCATTCACTGCCTTGCAATCACTCACGGACGAGGCTTCCGCCCACGTCCTCAGCATTCAGGCCACAATATTCCAACAGTGGCGATGATTCCAGTGCTTGTATGACTCCCTCAGACTAGACGTACATTGGGGACCCCATTTGCAGGGGTTCCCACACGACATGCGCTTGTAATTCACTGACAGACGAGTTTCCCGCTCGAGACCGCAGGTGCTAACTCAGCGTCGACTCGCGCTGATGAAGCGTCGATTCGAGGCGAGTCGCTTCGATTCGCAAGAGTCGGCAACATGACGTGGGAGGACAGTGGGGGGGCCCATACGGAGGGAATCCCGCTCGAGACGTGCTTGCAATTCACTCACAGACGAGGTTCTCGCTCGAGACTTCCTCCAAATATGTGTATGAGTGTATGATTGTGTTTGTGAGGGTACCCGTCGGTCGTTGAAAGTACGTACTACCCCGCGGATGCGGATAAGAGTGAGGGGGGTGGTGGGGACGTTGGCAGTCTGCGAAACCTGGAGAAGCCCGCCGCACGCGCAAAACAATCATAACTGTTCTATACAACGAGCCCGCCGCGACCTCGATTTATTCGTTAAACCAATGTGGGTAGGACGCGGGTGGGTCTCAAATTGATCGCAAATGGGTCGCGGGTGGGTCGTTGCTGGGTCGCGGGTGGGTCGCGGGTGGGTTGTGGGGTGGGTCGCGCGGGGGTCGCAGGTGGGTCGCGGGGTGGTTCGCGGGTGGGTCGCGGGTTGGGTTGCAAATGGGTCGCAAATGGGTCTCGGGTGGGTCGCGGGAGAGTCATTGTTGGGTCGTGGGCGGGTCGCGGGTGGGTCGCGGGGTGGGTCGCGGGGTGGGTCGCGGGAGGGTCGCAAGTGGGTCGCGGGTGGGTCGCGGGGTGGGTCGCGGGTGTGTCGCGGGTTGGGTCGCGGGTGCGTCGCGGAGTGGGTCGCGGGGTGGTCGCGGGGTGGGTCGCGGGGTGGGTCGCAGGTGGGTCGCGGGTGGGACGACGACAACAACAACAGCAACAACAACACCAACAGCAACAACAGCAAGAATAACAGCAACGCAACAAGCATAATTCTCACCACGGATACCCACATCAGCCACGCACCCAGGGACAATGAATGACCGTTCGGCCCCCTCACTCTGATGATTTCTTGAATTCCCAAATTCCAATCTACTTCTAGCGCCTTCCTACCTCAATAATCGATATGATTTGGCTGTGTTTGTTTTATTTCTCTGGGAGGGCCTGAACCCAATCTACTTTATCCGCCTTCCTACTTCATGTTTTTACCTACTTCTTACGACCGACATGTACTGATGAACAGTCGCCCCACTTGAGACATGAGGGACAGTTGTGTAGTCATAAGTTTCCTGAGGTCCCCGCGCCCATCGAGACCAAATCAGTCCTTCAGGACTGGACCGCCGCCCGATATCCTCGCTCACCGAGAGCTCCGGTGCCGCTGTGATGATCGCACGCCTTGATGGTTTTGAGGCGGCACACCTTCCTTGCACGCACTCAGTCTCGAAGTGCAGCACGCTCCGCGGTAGGCGGTAGGCCAGGAGCTTCTTCCAATGTGGCCGTGCACTCGAGAGCACTGGTTGGAGCACCGGTTTCAGTCCTCTGGATATTTGGGCTCTCGCGCGCTCTGTCGTTCTGGAGCCTTTTTTTTGCATCCTCTCGCGAGAGCGGCCCTCATTGGGGGGGTCGGCAACGTCACGATTCGCGCCAGCGCCGTGTGGGAATGAGGTACCCCTAGCCATCTCGTGGCGGCGCTGGCGCGAATCGCGATGTATTTGGGGTGGGGGGTGGGTGAGGGGAGGGGGCGTCCCCGTCAGCGGGCTACGCCGGGAATCGCAAAAGATAACTCGCTCCTGCTCCGCCCTGTTTGTCTTTTCGGCCTCATGGCATTCCGTTCCCACGAAGACCCCCCAAGAGCCGCCTCCTAACCTCCTCCCCCTCGCATGGACGCGGGAGAGCCTGACCACAAATCCGAGGCGAGAATTTAACCATATGCACCGCCTGGAGGGTCAGTTTTCGGAGCCTCGGCAGGCGGTGGATGTGGACATATTCGGGCCCCCGGGGGCCGAACTATATATCCATATATCCACCGCCCGCTGGGGCACCAGGACGTCGGTTCCCAGGCGGTGGATATGGATAAATCCCCGCCTCGCAACAAAGACCTGGCACGAGTGCGACTGTGTCTGCTATCCTCTGGCGCGTGGCGGTCGTTGCCCAGGCCAAACACCTTCGGGTAGCTGTAACGGTTGTACGTATGGGGGGGGGGGCACGCTTGGAACCCCCCCTCGTGCACGCTGGCACTCGCGCGCGCACCTTGGCGATCGCCGCTCACCCCCAGCGCCGACTTGCCCCAATCCGCCCAAAAGTTGTTGTTACTTTGCCCCCGCCCCCCCCCTCCCCGCCCCGGTGGCGACCGCTACCGGCAGCCATCAAAAACAGCCCTGGTGCACGGGGCAACCGGCCGGCTGTGCGCCTACTAGTGGGCGCGCTGGCGGACGGGAGGGTGGAGGGACGCCCGCCTCCTCGCCGGCGGCGCCTTGAAGGGCCTGTGGGGGAAGCTCGGGCACGGCGACCAGCGCACGATGTACGAGGCTGGCGGCGGGGAGGGGTCGTCGTCGTCCTCCTCGCCCTCGTTCTCCTGTTGTAGGCATCCCGGATATCCTCCTCTTCCTCCTCTTCCTCCCTCCCTTCCCCCTCCTTCTCATCTCCTCCTCTCGGCTCTACCCCTCCTCCTCCTCCTCCTCCTCCTCCTCCTCCTCCTCCCCTCCTCCGTCCTCCTCCGTCCTCCTCCTCCTCCTCCTCATCATCATCAGCATCAGCATCATCATCATCATCAGCATCAGCATCATCATCATCATCATCAGCATCATCATCAGCATCAGCATCATCACCATCAGCATCCATAATCACCATCGTCATCAGCATCATCATCATCATTAGATCTATCATCATATCATCATCATCATCATCATTCATCATCATCATATCATCATCATCATCATCATCATCATCATCATCATCATTCATCATCATCATCATCATCATCATCATCATCATCATCATCATCATCATCCCCCTCCTCCCAGCTCCTTCAAGCTTTCGAGCTGCGGGCATTATCGAGCTATCCTCCTCCTCCTCCTCCTCCTCCTCCTCCTCCTCCTCCTCCTCCTCCTCCTCCTCCTCCTCCTCCTCCGCATCGCCCTTCGAGCCTTCGGGGTGCAGTTCTCTGGTGGTTCCGTCCTCCTCGCCCCTCCTCCTCGCAGCCCTTCTCCCCCTGCGCTCCTCCTTTCTGGGGAGGGGAGGGGAAGGGGCCAGGGGAACGGGGATAGGCCATGGGGGAGGAGGATGAGGAGGGTGGCGTGGAGGCCCGCATATACGCGGCGCTCCTCCCTTGTGCGGACGCCTCCGACCCACAGGCCCCACGGGCCCTCGCAGCCAGAAAGGCCCCGCGGGTAGCGCCTACAGGCACTGCCGTTGAGGAGCGCGGATGCCTGCAGGCAGGGAGGGCTTGTAGGCGTGCCTGAAGGCAGTTAAAGGGAGAGTGTCAGTAGGCAGGGAGGTCCTGTAGTCGCGTCGGTCGGACTGGGGGGAGGGGGGGGAGCGCCTACAGGCAGGACAAACGATATAAACACAATAAAACCGTCGCATGGTTCGCCCTGGGGGGGGCGTTCCCCAGTACACATCACTTAACCAGGTCCCACTAAACCCAGTTCTGCCAACGCCCGAGGGCCGCTTCCACATTCTTCAAGATGAGGGTGGCGCAGCTGCGCCAATCCGCGCCTCCGGTGGCGGCCCCAGCGGTGGGCCAGCGAGAGGTCCGCCCCGCTGCCCTGTTGCCTGTTGCCACCGCCCCCGAGGGTGATGGGCCTGCTTTCCACCACCACCACCACCATAAGTTGGAGGGGGGAAGGATGATGATGATGATGATGATGATGATGATGATGATGATGATGATGATGATGATGATGATGATGATGATGATGGTGATGGTGATGGTGATGGTGATGGTGATGGTGATGGTGATGGTGATGATGATGATGATGATGAGATGATGATGATGATGATGATGATGATGATGCTGCTGATGATGATGTGATGCTGATGATGATGATGATGATGATGATGATGATGATGATGATGATGATGATGATGATGATGATGATGATGATGATGATGATGATGATGATGAGGATGATGATGATGATGATGATGATGATGATGATGATGATGATGATGATGATGATGATGATGATGTTGGATGATGATGATGATGATGATGATGATGATGATGATGATGATGATGATGATGATGATGATGATGATGATGATGATGATGATGGATGATGATGATGATGTGATGATGATGATGATGATGATGATGATGATGATGATGATGATGATGATGTGATGATGATGATGATGATGATGATGATGATGATGATGAGATTGATGATTGATGGTGAGGAGGAGGAGGAGGAGGAGGAGGAGGAGGAGGAGGAGGAGGATGGGGAGGAGGAGGAGGAGGAGGAGGAGGAGGAGGAGGAGGAGGAGGAGGAGGAGGAGGAGGAGGAGGCCCCCTTTCCCCCCCAACGTATGGTGGTGGTGGTGGAAAACAGGCCCATCCGAGGGTCCTGGTCGCGGCGCCTGCCCGCGCTGGTGTTCTAGCCAAGCCACGTTGTCGAGCCTCTGGCGTGTCCCTGGGCTGAGGGGCGTGGCCGGGGGCGGCTGCGCTGCCTCGTCGCTGCGAGCCGCTTCGCTGGAGCACGCCCCCGCGGCCCGCCCTGCGAGCCGTCGCGGCTGCGTCCCGGCCTGGCTGCCCCTTCGGCGCCCTCTCCAGGCCAAGGGGTCGGCTGTCGGCCGAGACAAGGGCGGCGGGCCTGATCCATCCGCAGGGCTCCCGAGACCCACAGCCACCCAGGCCCAGGCGGCCACGTCGGACCTCGAGGCGGGGCGACGGGCGACAACCTGTCGAGACGAACAAGAAAACGAGGAGGGTAGGCTGTAGGCCGGGAATGCCTTTAGGCGCGGCGCGACTGCAGGCGAGGAGGGAGGGAGTGCCTATATGCAAGGCGGTCTTTTAGGCGTGCCTGGGGCAGGGAGGGAAGGAGTGCCTGTAGGCAGGGAGTGCCTTTCGGCGCTTCTGTAGGCGAGGAGGGAGGGAGTGTCTATAAGCAGGGAGGGCCTTTAGGCGTGCCATTAGGCAGGGAGGAAGGGAAGAGGGAGGAGGGGGAGGAGGAGGAGGAGGAGGAGGAGGAGGAGAAGGAGGAGGAGGTGTTAACATGCAAGCGTTCAGGTGACTGGGGAGGAATAGTAACCCTGTTACCTTTGGCTCAAGCGTTTAACAGCTGAAGCCACCGAGACTCGCTTCGCCGTGCGGGAGTATAAAGGTGACCGATCATCATCACTGTTACTGGGCTCCGTGCAGAACCCTCCTCGGGGTTTTGCATGGTAGCGGAGCGCGGTTGCCATGGCGGCGGCAGCGGCCGCTGCAGCTAGGCCTGGGCAGGGCGACCCGCCGGTTAACCTCAATGTACCGGCAGACAGAGATGCATGGGTCAATATGGACCCTAATCGCTTCAACGACCTGTGCGAGCAGGCATACCTGAACGGAGACTTCAGTTATGTTCAGACAGCGTTACTTGCAATCATTATGGACTTGCAACGTTCATCAACGAGCGAGTGACACAGGACCGAAGGGAAGTATCGAACGCCGAGACCTTCCAAATGTTACAGAGCGCTCAGAAGACCAACGGCATGTTGTTAACGATAACGAAGAGAAGCGCTGCGCTTGAAAGGGATGCTCGCAGGTTGGTGGAAAGAGTCACCGAGTTGGAGACCAACAGCGAGGTACAAGAGAAGTTGATTGAAAAATTTGGTCAGCTTTCGGAAGCAATCAAAGGAGGAAGTGGAAGCAAGCACGGGAGCGGTAAACCGATAAGCGAGTATAAAGCATTACAGGCGTTAAAGAACTTCAGTGGAGAAAGAGCAAAGTTCAGAGACTGGAACGACAAGTTCTTAAACGCGCTGGCCCAAGTAAAACCGAGTTACCGACCGGCGCTGAAAATGCTGAACAAGAAGTTGGAGACACTCGACGGAGTTGTACCAGAGGAGGATGATGATGACATCATACGCATAATGAACGGTCGATTAACAGCAAGCGAACACTTGAAGGCGAATCCAACTAAACAAGCAGAGGATGACAACAAAGGAGAGTACGAGTTTACCGAGGGAGACAAAACTCAAATGGAGGAAGACTTATGGTACATCCTTAACGAAAAGCTCGAAGGTGCAGAAGCAAGAGGAAAATTGAAGGGACTTATGGATGGTGATGGAGGTATGGTTTGGCAAAAGGTTTACAAGTGGTACTCGGCTGTTACAGGAGCGACCCTGTCCTCAAAGATGACACACGCCATGAACCCTGAGCCGCCCAAGAAAATTACTGATACTGTTACCCGACTTGAGGAGTGGAGTGCATTGGCAGAGAATCTTGAAAAGTATGGTACAGATTACTCACTGCCCCTCCCCTTTAAGGTCACCGCACTCAGGGCAATAATGGTGCTTGCGAACGATTGGTTTAACGAGTGGCAGCAGGCGTGCTGGCGAACGCCCGACGCGCTTAACATTGACTCATTCCAGAAGCTATACTCCAAGCGTGAAGATTGGGCGCGTAAAAAGAAACTCGACTCAGACACCAAGAATAAAGATGCGATGGACATTGGAAATATCAACGAGACGAGTCAAGGGCCCGAAAATGTCTGGGACCAGACAGGATGGGTTGACGAGGGCGGAAATTGGTGGCCAGAAGATGGGTCTTGGAGTTACGGGCCCTGGGCTAATGAGAGTAACAGTGGAGATCATGAAGAAGTCGACGCCGTGAACAAAGGCAAAGGTAAAGGCACAGGCCCCAAAATGTTAAAATTGCGGAGGCATGGGTCATTTAGCCAGGAACTGCACAAAACCTAAACAGTTCACCAAAGGAGGCAAAGGTGGCAAAGGCGGAAAAGGCAAGGCTTACCGGGCCACCTACGGGCCCTACATGAGAGGTAAGATTGGAGGCAAACAAGGTGGTAAAGGGAGTGGCTCGCGGAGTGGAGGTTACGGAGGCCAAGGGCAATTTACCCCCCACAGCGAGCGTGAGTGCTACAAGTGCGGTGCCAAAGGGCATATCGCCGTTAATTGCCCGGGCCCCGAGAAGACCGCCAACGAAGTTGAGCAAGAGAGACCGACGGTGAACGCGGGAAGTGAACAAACCACCTCATTTGGCCAACCGCAACATGTTCTCAGCGTTGAAATGAGGGGTGTAGTGAACGTGCCACCGGACCAACTCACAACTGAGGAGGCTAACGGGCAATGGGCACTGCCCTCATATACCAGAAAGAAAATGGCGCGTAAAGTCGCAGTGGACCTGAGAAGAGCTTACCATGAGCATCAATACAACGGGAACTGCAATCATGTGAATCAATGGGACCAGAGGATAAGTAAAAGTGTAAAACGGGAAAAAAGTTGGCTGGAGAAATGCAGAGAGATCGGGCTAATCGAGATGCGAGACTGTGATCCAGAAATTAACGCGGTGCCACCTCAGAGTACAACG